TTCATTGTCTCCAGAAAGTCTCGGCCATTTTTGGATGGTCAATCTCCGACGGTGCATGTTTTATCCCATGCAAAGGCGTGTCCTGTGTGGAGGCAATGCATAGCCACTTCAGACAAATGGTCACTTCTCTTCACGGCCAATTGGCGCGCGTGGACGCGTGTTGAGAAGGATCTTCCTGTTTAGCCACAATATACAGTATCACAACCTTCGCATAAGATTTTGTAGATGACCTTTATTATTAAGGTAGCCAACCCTATCCTTAGGGTGTACAAGTTGGGTGTGTAAAGTAGTCATCGGTTTCTGCGCCTTTTTATTTGGTGTTTCCGCAAGTGTCTCTCAACGAGTTCAGACACATTCCCTATATAAGAAAGGATTTGCCATATATTTGTATTGGACGCTTGAGTGGAGCCATCTGGTTCCTTTTTGTTGCGTTGTTGTTGTCTTATGCATCGGCGCATAAATTATTTGAGATAACCATTGCGGGAAAACAAATCAAAGATATAATTGAGCTGTATTCGGTAGGTTTCTTCGTGAGAACAGTGTCTTCGCTCGGTGAAGCAAACTATTAAGAGCAACAACCCTACCTCTCATGAAAGGAGTGCCGCCAATATTCTGCTGTTAGCCCAAAGACGAGCTGGGACAGCAGCTTCGAAAACTTACTAATTAAAGTTACGTTTTATCCCAAAGAACAACTTCTTCAAAAACAGTGGGTAGTCTCCTAGCACTGTTCATTCGTGTGCTATTATTCAGGGGCTAGGTCGTCGTACGGTATACCCTATATATCAACGTGGTCATTCACAACATCGTACTTGATAATGGACACAGGGCTACTCATTTACGTCAAGTCGGTCATTTACTTGCATGATTTGAGAACGCGTGGTAGCTGACGCCTGTTATCAGTATCCAAACTTAGCTCTGCAATAACACGTTCGGTTGCTTCGGACACATTCTTTATGTACTGTAGAGGGTGCCAGAGTATTGGTAGCTTTCCTCCGTTTCTTCTCCCTAGGTGCGTACGGAGGCAGTGGTTGCCGAAGTTGT